TATCCTAGATAAAAGTTTACAATAGTCAGTACCCAGTAGATAGGTACTTTAGAAAATCATCTCAATTAAAATATATGTTCAGACGGTTTTGAAATCAATTATTTGAGTATAGGTAATATACATATTAACTATAATGATTTATGAATAAGTTAAATTCTGTGCTTTCGTATTAGAAAACAATAATAATTTATGTTATGCATCTCTATAAATAGGTACAAATTAATATTTTTAGGGGATCAAATAATGTTTTCTTTTAATATAATATATACCACCTATATAGTTTATCAAATTGTATTAATCTTACCAAGCTATATTATTATAACAACCATGACTTCAAAAATTAGTTATTGATGTTAGATTTAGATAAAAAGTAAGGTACCAACCTATTATTAATTTTTATTTTTTACTGTGATACACGATCTTAAYTATAACTAATTTCAACAAGGAACGCACATTTTCAAGTCAAAAATWATATTAATTGTAAGCTACAACCTAGTCTCCAAMTGTATCTATATTATTAGTTATCAATTATTGACATTGGTCATTGAATTTGATATAATATTTGAGACGATATATCTTTTGACCATGTAAAATAATARCTGGGTACCTATTAATAATATATATACTTTACAGAAAGGAAATTCAAAAAAATAATTATTTAATCCATAATTTGAATAATATTTTATTATAATTTACCATGTGCCCTTTGCCCCTTTAAATGAAAGAGCACAATATTTTAATAATGTTTATGTTTATATTATGAGTTATAATATAAACATAATTGTCATAATTTATGACTTTCGTAGTTTCGTAAATTTATCGTTATTTTAAGGGTTATTACTATATTTGATATTATAGAATATACTATTTATCATTCTATCGCCTATTTTGTTATAATGCATTTACAGTGTTCGATAATTCATTATACAAAGTAAATTCCTATCTAATTAAATTGTATATATTCTTAACAATGAGAAAACAATCAACTATAAATGGAAAGTGATACATACCTAATAATATACTCTTTATTTTATCCTAAACGAATTTCATCGCAGCTATATCGTTCAACTAATTTATGTAATTTACGCATGTATACATGCAACATGCATTATGTATATTATTATAAAATTAGAGTCATATATTAAAATATTATATTGTACAAAATATTGKATTATTTATTATAAATTGATAATGTAGGAACTGTATTATATTATTTTACTTTATAATACATTTATAAATGTACCTATAGTACATATATCACATAATATCATACAAAGGTAATAGTATACCTACGCTCAAACTAATTGTTCTCATAGTATTATCAATTTGTCAGGCTCCAAAATATATCATTTGCCCCGGGCTTCCAAA